TTCTTCTTATCATAGCATACCAACCAGCGAACACCCAGCCAAGTTTAGTTAGCCAGTTTGAGTATTCGTTACATCTAGTATCGGTATAAGTAAATACTACTTAAGGCTACTTACGTACTATACTTAGTACTAAGTACTACTATATAATAGTAGTAGTACTTATAATACCTTTACTCGGTATATATAACTAATAGTCTTTATAATACGATATATTCGATACTAAACTATTAGCCGTATATTATACTTTTCTTATTTATTTTTTCGGCTTTATTAACTTAGAGTTAAACTAATATTGATTAGTTCTTATAATCTTCTATATTACTCTAAAGCTTAAACCTCTTCTATTAATTATTTTAATATATTCTTAAATAACGTGCATGTATAGCGAACCGGCCAAACAAGCGAACCGGCCAAAACCCGGCGACCCCACCACACCTCCACGAAATATTAAATTTCTCTACAACGAAGGATGCCTCTGAAAAATGACGAAAGCCGGTTAGTCTTAGCTATCCAAGCTATGCAAAAAGACCCAAATTTACGTGCTCGAGCTGCTGCCAGGACCTATTCTGTAGACCACCGCAAGCTAGGTCGACGTTTGCTTGGTATACCTTCACGACGCGATATTTTAGCCAATTCACGGAAAATGACCGAGCTAGAGGAATCAGTACTTGTTCAACATATCCTCGACCTAGCTACAAAAGGATTTCCTCCGCGGATATCTGTAGTTGAAGATATAGCAAATCGACTTCTTGAAGCACGCGACGCGCCACGCGTCGGGACGCGTTGGGCTTATAACTTTGTTAAGCGCCGCCCAGAACTCCAGACACGCTTCCAACGAAAATACGACTATCAGAGAGCTAAGTGCGAAGATCCAGAAGTCATTCGTGGCTGGTTTGAGCTTGTACGAAACACAATAGCGAAGTACGGAATCTACGATGCAGATATCTACAACTTTGACGAGACTGGGTTTATGATGGGCGTTATCTCAACTGCAATGGTTATTACAAGCTCAGAAGGACGTGTAAAAGCAAAAAGAGTACAGCCTGGTAATCGGGAATGGGTTACAGTAATCCAGGGGGTTAATGCCCAAGGCTGGTGTGTTCCACCGTTTGTGATTGTTGCCGCAAAAAATCACCTCGCTTCTTGGTACCAAAACAGTGGATTTCCACCTAACTGGGTGATTGCTATTACTGAAAATGGTTGGACAACAAATGAGAAAGGCATGGATTGGATTCGACATTTTGAGAAGCATACAAAGTCCCAATCTATTGGTGGTTATCGTCTATTAGTCCTCGACGGCCATGAAAGCCACCACTCCGACGAATTTGAGGAATATTGCAAGGAAAACAACATTATCACTCTTTGTATGCCTGCTCATTCTTCTCATATACTCCAGCCACTCGACGTTGGCTGTTTTAGCCCTTTGAAAAGGGCATATGGTCAGCAAATTGAAGATATGATGCGGGCTCAGATCATCCATATTACTAAGGATGATTTCTTTCCTGCCTTCCACGCCGCATTTAATATTGCAATGACAGAAAGCAATATCCGAGGAGGGTTCCGAGGGGCTGGGCTTCTTCCATTTGACCCAGAAAGTGTAATTTCTACACTTGATCTTAAGCTAAAGACGCCAACGCCTCCAAACTCCCCCCCGTATTCCGCTCAGCCTTGGGTTTCCCAGACACCAAATAACCCTACTGAAGCCTTATCACAGACTGCATTTATTAAAGATCGAATTTTACGCCACCAAAGTAGCTCTCCAACCCCTATTTACGAGGCCATTGACCAGTTTACGAAGGGTGCATCAAAAGTAATGCACCAGATAGTACTATTGAAAGCTGAGAACCAGAGACTTCGACAAGCAAATGAAGTACTAAGTAAGCGCCGTAGAGCTAAAAAAACACGCCTACAGCAAGGAGGATCACTTAGTCAACAGGAAGCGCAGGACCTACAGGATGATAGAGACGTTGGTGAGCAGGTAATGCAGGAAATAAAGAGAAGTAGTGGTCGGAAGCCGAGGGAAGAATCACGTGCACGGCGCTGTGGCAACTGCGGAGAGACTGGTCATAATACGCGCACCTGTAATATAATAGAGGAAGTATCTGAGGAAGAAATTTCTGAATATTTTTTTTTAATTGGAGGCGTTGTGGTAGAGTTCTTACAATTTCAATCGCGAGTGTAGAAAGTTTTGGCCGGTTCGCTTGTTTGGCCGGTTCGCTATACATGCACGTTATAATATATATAAGTTAAATAATATTCTAATATTATATTTACTCTTAGTATATTAGCTATACCATACGTACTTACCCTATATATTACAAGTATTTAATCTAGCTACGCTATATAATAAATAACAATACTAAGGCTAAACCTAGGCTAAGCTTCTTAGTTACTCGGACCGGAACTACTACCTATATATATTACAGGTTACGTAGGAATTCTAATTAGAAGTCTAAATGTTCCACCCTTACCCTTTGGAATAGAATATTCCAGCACTTACTTATACTATTTAGAATAGAATATTCCATAGGACGGCCTTAGAATAAAATAGAATTACAAATCCCGAACTCTATTCTTCCCCTTCCTTCCTAAGAAAAGCCGTTATAAGTAAAGATCAAAATATACCCACCTACCTCCTTTCCCCCTCCCTTCTCCCGTCCTCTATTACAACACAACTACCATCTACCCCTACTATATCCCACAGAACCTACTATTCCCATTCCCATTCCCACCATCCCAAATACTTCCACCCTATCCACCTATCCACCTATCTCCAACTCTAACATCAGATCTCTACATACTCCTATACCAACCCATCAACTACCTACCTACCTATCTATATTAGCTTCCCTTCCCCCCTAGCCCTAGCCCCGCCTTATTCCACTAATCAAATTCCCAACATCTTCCCTTCCATCTCATTCTACCACCTACAGTACCTATATATCCCCCGATTTCCTCCCAACCACCACTCTAGCTCCTCCAAACCCCGTAAAAAATCCAAAAAAAGGGGGGGTTAATACCCAAAAACTTACCTCCACCGACCTACCTCCATTAACTTCCCTCCACCAACCCACCAACCTACCTAAAGAAATCCCATCCTTCAAATCCTAACCTCTCTCTACCTACCCATCCATCACATCAACATCACCCTTCTGAGCCTTCTCTAATTCCAGCTATTTAAAATTTCAAAACCACCCCCCTTTCCCCTTTCGCCCTCCCTCCCTTCCCCTCCCCCCAAAAAAACGAAAAAACAGAAAAGAAATCTAGCTACTTATTCATTTCTCTAAAATAGTGTAATATAACCACTGTAGGTATAAACAAGTCTAACAAGTGTTAGGAAGTAAGTAAGAATAAATAAATAAGTAAATAAGTATAAATTTATATAAATAAAGTCTAACAAACAAACAAACAAACAAACAAAGCAAAAACATCGAGAATCATGATGGCCTGGCGCACAATATATACATTTTCATCTCATGTTCATCTCATCTCATTTCATTCCCACATTGCCCACATTCCCTCATGGTCCTCACCTAGCCCATCCTTTTTTCCCCATCATTCCATCAACACCACAACACACACCCATCATACATCCCCCCCCACCAGCTAAACCTNCCCCCCTCCCCGCCAAAGAACCCATACCTCGCACGGGCATTCCTGCCTTCATTAACCATACTCACCGCATCCCCAACCTGTTTCCTCTCCGAGACCTCTCTCAGCATCCCCGTCGCAGCACCAGATCTTAACTTCAACCGCATCTGCAACTTCGCCACGTGACTCTGCTCTCTCCACAAATTCGTCAATCCCTGAGACGCCCACGGAGCAGAGTTGGGGCGATAGGGGGTGGTGTAGGTGTCCCTCATGACGGCTGATTGTTATTGGAGAGGCTCCGAGGAGCTCGAGAGGCGGTTGAGGTGCAGGTAGACGTCCGTTCCGTAGCTGGGGTTTTGTTTAGTGTTGTGAAGGGGATGTAAGGAGAAGGGGATGTAAGGAGAAGGGGATGTAAGGAGAAGGGGATGTAAGGAGAAGGGGATGTAAGGAGAAGGGGATGTAAGGAGAAGGGGATGTAAGGAGAAGGGGATGTAAGGAGAAGGGGATGTAAGGAGAAGGGGATGTAAGGAGAAGGGGATGTAAGGAGAAGGGGATGTAAGGAGAAGGGGATGTAAGGGGAAGGGAAAGGGGTTAAAGGGAAAGGGAAAGGGGAAAGAGGTTGATCACTTACCCTTCCATACTAATGAGTTTCAGATCGCCCCCAAAATATCGGGCGTAGAGTCTCGAGATAGGTAATCCATATCCAAAGCCCGCCATAGGAGCTTTAAAATCACTCTTATCAAAATCTGGATCGAGACTCGGCGTTGTGTCAACGGTGGTATACATATACGTCCAAACCAGCGGGATCGAACTTCTCGGGATCCCACCCCCTTCATCCGAGATCTTGATCGTGATATCCTCTTTTCCCTCAGCAACGACAACTTTCGTCACGGGGAAATCCTCTTTATCCTGTCCGTGGGTTTCCACCACCGCTCGTAAAGAGTTTTTCAGGGTCTCAAAGAGCATGTGCGATAAATGGCCTGGGACATACATGAAATGTAGATTCGGGGGACAAACGAGTTGGACTTTGGGCGCATCAAATAGGCCATAATGATCTTCACAGACGAATCGCGCATTCTCAATAGCCTCCTGCGCAAGATCTCTCACGTTGGTTTTGGTGCAGATGATTCCCACATACGCCGGATCCTTACTATGACTTTGATCCGTCAGCGCAATATGCTGTCCAATTAACATGCGAATGCCAATTCGGGACATGTAGAATCGGTCCAAGAAAGCTTGAATATTGTTGTCAATCTGCATGCGTTGACGTTTCCGTTTGTATTCCAGGATTCCCTGGGCAACGGTCGTTACAACGCTATCATGCCTTCGCTTGATCTGGTTCAACGTCTGCGCAAACCTCTGGTTGTAATCGTGGAGTTCGGGGGGCCAGTCGGACGTATCTTCCACCGTAGCAAAGTAACGTCTCGCAGCCTTTTTTGCGTCCCCGTTTTCTTTTCCTTTGGCGTTCTGCTGCCAGGTTAGGGAGCTATACTGCCCCTTTTTGACGCTGGGATTTAACGTCGTTTCCGTGAGGATCTTGGAGGGCTTCCCGTCCGTTTTCGAGGGCCGCATGAGTCGATCGCGGACGTCTTTCGAGAGACTGGGTCTTTGCAGAGTCGTTATTTCCTTGCATCACATGTCAGATCCCCCTCAGCTCGTCTTGAGAAAATAGTAGAGTAATACTTCAAATGACTGTGCGTACCAATCTTGCACTTTCCTGATGGAGGGCATTTCATTGAGTCCATCTGGCAGATCCCCCAATTCCTGTACTCGATGTGCCAATCGTATGGGCAGCTCCTCGGAGAGGAATTGTGAAGCTCGAAATAAGGTCCCTATTGCAAACAGATTTCAGCTATTGCCCCGCCGCGCAGACACCTTTTCCATGGCAACACCAAACAACGCACCTGTCGACGGTCTCTCTCCAAACTGGACCATCTGCCTCAAGCTCACACCCGTGGCAGGGAATGCCGAATAATGCTTGATGGTGTCCATCAACATCTCGGATTTCCTCCACGACATGTTGAATATGTGTTTTGCCGGCCCTCAGGCCTCTGGGAGAGTGTTGGTGAACCCTTCAATGGCGATGACTACTCTTTCCCATAAGCTGATCTGATGAAGCTCTCCAATTCAGCGTGTGACAATTGTCCCTTGACCCCTCGATAGGTCCTCGCAGTCTGTGACTGTGCTGTGCCGATACGACTGACGTAGGGAAGCAGTGCCGAGGCTAGAAAAAGAACCAGGACAACAATTGGTCCAAGCAGAACAAAGAATGCACGCGATGAAGCAATTCACAATCCGCTCGTAGACTTTCCCTCGTGCAATTGATACTGGTGATGGATTTATGTGTCAAGGTAGAGATATCAAAGACAATGGGAGACTCGTCTCTGAGGAGTGGAAAGAAGCTTGTGCCAGTCGCGTGCCAGACAAGACTCCAAGCTACTGTATCTACTCCACGCTTCAGCGGCCTCTCCTCCTCAGCTCATTCTGCACGCCCTTCCAGCGTGCAGACGCCTCAGTAGTGTAGCCCCCAGACCGTATAGGCTAGCTAGTCATTCTCTACAATCAAGCATCGTGGCTTTTCTCTTTCTCCCCGCGCTTCATTGCTTTTTCATCGTGGCCGCGGCTGAAGGAACGTGGGTCGTAGGAGAGCGGTGGACGAAGGGAGAGTTAGAGTGGAGGGGAACCAAGTGATAAGTCCATAAAAAGGTGGGATGAGGCGGCATTTCCCCACGATTGTTTGGTCATCGGATCGGGCATCCTCCTGATAATACTCCATAGCTTCAATCAATGGTGTGGGGAGCTGAGATCTGAAGTATGAGTATCCATTTTCGACAGCCTTGACGTTCCCCTCTACCTACCTACTTATGGAAGTGCGTTGAAAATGTACCTACCATACATTAATGCTAGAGCAATTTCGCTGACAGTAATAAACCCCCTCTCCTCCCACCGTAAGGAAATACAATGAAATTAGAAAATCCTGTGAAAATAAGCTCACTCACAGCATGCTTTTGCACTTCCATTTGAACCATCCGTACTATCAATTGTGGATTGATAATACCTGTCCAGCTAATAGTATCTACTATCAAACGTAACCATGCGATGCTAAACTAAATAGGTAACAAACGCAAGGCTGTGAGTGTGAGCGCTCCCTCCAAAAACTTCCGGCCTTCCAAAATAAGGGAAAGGGAAAAAGTCCACCAACGCCATTGTGCCAATGCATTTCCGCTTTCCCGTATCGCCGAACAACTCAGATGTGCCAGTGCAGCCAAAAACCATATCCCACCACATATTGCAACGCTCCACCTACTCCAGACTCGCTCGCTCACTCGTCCACTCATTCACTATACAGCCTGTACATAATTGGCAGGGACACTCTTCGTAGCACCTCCCTTTTCAACCTCCGCCCACCCATCTCCAGGATCTTCCTTGATAAGCACGAATCTCTCGCCTTCCACCATGCTATGCTCAGCATCACTTTGCGCCGTGTATTCATACAACGCCTCAACGTATTTCAGTTTCTTTGCACCGCGTCTGGGTGCAACTGCTGGACCTTGTTTCTTGCCCTGCATGCTACCTGCCATGGAGGATCCCGAATTGGAATATACGGATGAAGGTCGAGGTGCTGCCGGAAAGATCTCAATGTATGCCGTTGGTACAATCCCTTCTTTCCAGCTGGCTTTGACTTTTGTCCAACCACCATCTGAATTATTGTTAGCGGAAGTTGCACGGCAGAGGAATATGGGACAACTTGCCATCCGGTTCCAGGATTGTTACTTCTTTTCCTTCCGCAACAGTGATCTCGCCATCACCGCTAGCATCGTACGCGTAGAGCATTTTCCCTTTCTGTTCATTAGAAAGAGACACTCCGGAACCATTCGAAGGAGCAGGAACACTTCCAGGAAGCTCGCTAATGTAGGCCGCAGGAGGTGGCGCAATAACTCGATTCTTTCGTAAAGTATTCGGTGCACTAATTGGCTTTAGAGATGTTGGCCTTTCCGGTTGTGTCTCTTCAACGGGTGACTTTGGTCCATTACCAGAAACCGATCGATGGGCACTGGCTGCATAGCCAGAACTCAATGAGTTCATGGTATTACTTCGAGTCATTGAAGGTAGGTCAGAAACACTGTCAGGAGGATGTACAGGGATTCCGGGACTCTTTAATGCGTTGGCTGCTTCTTGTCTTTCTGCTTTCAGTTTCTTCTTTTCTTCCTTGCTTTGCTCACCAGGGCATTCGGCAGGAACCTTCATCTCACATTTGCTGTGGCATGTATAACCGCAGTCTCGACAATCGAATCCTTTGGCTGATAACCCCCATATTCGTTCTCCGCACAGATCACAATTTGTTGGAATTTTGAAAGTCTGAGATTTGAAGTTGTGACTCTTCGCTCCTAGGGTCACATCCCCAACTGCAGCTGTAATAGTGTCGGTTTCAACCTCTGCTGTTAATCTTTTATGATCGACCTGATGTAATTCTTCCTGGAGTGCAAAAATGGCCTTGACCACTTCAACCTCATCTCTCTTGTCTCTGCCTTCTCGGATTTGTTGCTTCACTCTTTTTGTGCCTTCCACTTCTCTTCGTTTCTTGTCGACTTCCCTCCTTAAATCACCCAGCTGCGCTTTGGACTTGCTCAATACATTCCTTAAGAAAACCTTGGCCGTATCGTCCACCACCATAAGGTCGTCGTCATGCCATATAGGACTTGGTTCAAATGCCTTGTTTGGTGGTTCTTGCCAAGAAGCTACGTTGTGCCTCACAAACATCATGGAATCGAGATGGGGCTGGTTTCGTGGAATCTCTTTCGCCAAATGATCGACAAAATCCATACTACGATTCAACATACCAGTTTCAATCTGTGCTGCTAATGACCAAATTCCATTCAATCTCGATATTCGCGATTCAGAGAGGTCCTGCATGCTGTCGACAAGATCCGGAACATACTCATAGTAATATTTCTCCTTCTGCTTATTCGTAACATTAATGGCAATAAGATAACTGTTTTTGACGTTATGCATCTCGAGTATTTGTTGCTGGTATGCATTCTGGGCTTTCGCTTTTCCATAGTCGAATGCTGATTCAGTCTTTTTCCGTTTATTCTCAACTTCCTGGCAAGCCGAATCATATTTGCCCTTCATTTTCCGCAGGTCTCCAAAGGTTGAATCTCGCTCCTTTTCTAATTTATCAGCGAATTCGGCATGACGTTTTCGCAATTCTTCATATCGACTGGCAATGACCTTTAATGGATCTGCCAGTTGTGTGATTAACTCTCCACCATAACGGTCGTGTTCAGCCGCTCGCGACTCTAGAGTCGTTAGTTGGGTCGTCCATGTTGTCAACGAAGCACTGCGTTCCTCCAGTCAGCCGAAGACTTTCCCCAGCAAAAGTCATAGCATACCTCTCCAGCGATCCAGGTGTCATAACAGGCGTATCTCCAACGCTCAAGTGGCTCGACTTCTTGGCCTTCCTTTCATAGTACTTCTTAGCCAAGGCACTGAGCTTCGCGCTGTATTCCTTCTCAATGACACTTCGTTCTCGGTAAAACTGTTGAATGTCATCCAACCAAGTTATTCCGTTCGAGACCCAAGCATTGACTGGTTTAAATCCATCCTGAAATGCAGAGGTGAGTTAAATCCCGGCGCAAGCGGAAGCTAATCAGAGACGTACCTTGAGCTCAAGCCCAAAGTTGGGGGCAATGTCTACATCTGCCATGTTTGGTAGCAACAATTTTGCACAGAGGAGAGATGTTTGATTCTTCCAAGAAGGAGTCACGAATGACGGTCAAATTGAGCCAACGTCATAATTCAGAGGGCAGGGAGAGTATGCGCATGAATTGGTATATTGAGTCGTCGAAGCGCAATGACAGTCACTGCCACCCCACGATCATCCATACAGTAACAGTCCAAGGTTGGGAAGTAATGGCCCGCCGCCCGAGCCGGTGCCCGAGCCCGATATCGCCGAGGACTCGATGCCTCATAAGGCCGAAACACAAACAAGGCTGAATTACCCAGTACTTGTACGGGTGAGCACGAGCACGAGGCACGCTAAAAGCAGACCCCGCCATGCTGGAGCCCTGGCGGGAGCAAGAGCGCATACCTAGCATACCTGGTACCAAGCAAGGAGCTTAAGCTTGACCTCTCTGTCAAAGAAAACAAACACCACCACCACCAGCCTCTTTGAGCTCTCCACCCATCCTATCCTTCCTTTGATCTTCAAACACAAATATATTGTCCCGCTTCTGCGCTGACCGCAACCCTCCCGCCAGCTATTTATTACTACCGACGGCGCCCTGCCCTGTCGCACTTCAACTTCAACCTCGAATCCAGACCTCTACCATACAACCACTTGTCGCCTCTACGCCAGGAAACTTTCATCACAACATGTCTGGCAACGCGTCCGAGGACGCGGAGAAGGCTCCGTCTCTCGCAGATCGTATAACTCGACCAGCAACTTCGTCGTGGGCTGATGAAGTTTCTTCTCCCACTGGCGCAACTCCTACGAAGGACACCCCATCCCCACTTCCTGCTGCCCAGGTGGACGGAACTGCTACAATTCTCGGTGGCTCTGGAATGATGGAGGATGACGACGATGGACCAATTGATCTTTACTACAGCGATCAGCAGAAGCAGAGAGGTCTTGACAGTCAGGACCGTCGCATTATCAAAACATGGGAAGACCTGGGCCTGTAAGTCAACCTGCTCTACGTCGATGTGTATGCTCATGGAACTCATGCGGCGCGCATCGATCAAACGAATTTTGTAATAAACCCAATACCTCAAACATGTACTGACCCCTCGTTCTAGTAATCCACTGCTACTCAAAGGACTCTATTCAATGGGTTTTCTGAGACCATCAAACATTCAGAGTCAAGCCCTACCTCATCTTCTACTCGAGAACCCTCCGCCAAATATGATTGGTCAGTCGCGATCTGGAACTGGAAAGACGGGAACTTTTGCAATCACTATGCTTGCTCGCCTTGACTTTTCCAAGCCGAACATACCACAAGCTATGTGTATAGCACCAACTAGAGAATTGGCTATACAGATCGTCGGTGTTATTCAAACTATGGGCCAGTACTTTGTGGGTCAGGAGACGTTGAGAGTACACTCTGCTGTGTCGCCTGATCCAAAGGATCCAAATAGCCCTCCTCCCCATAGAGGACCAGTCAACGCAATGGTTGTGGTTGGAACTCCTGGCACAATAGAAGGTCTCATTAAACAACGTCAACTTAACACATCTCAATTGAGAATAGTGGTTTTAGACGAAGCGGATCAAATGTTGTCCTCGCAAGGGCATGGGGACAGTTCTCTTCGTATCAAACGGTTCGTGTCTGTACCTTGTCCTATTGATTTAGTCTAATTGACAACAGATTCACTCCCCCGACTGCCCAAGTTCTCTTGTTTTCGGCAACCTTCCCCGAAAATGTCAACAAATTTGCGAGCTTCTTCTGTCCAGATCCCATGAGATTGGAATTGAAGGTTGAAGAGTTGACCGTGAAGGGGATCAAACAGATGTTTGTGGATTGTGATAGTCAAGCGGGAAGAGATGGTCAATATGAGACTCTGGTTCAACTGTATGGTCTTACGACAATTGGACAATCTATCATTTTCGTCAAGGTAAGTTTCCAAGACAGGGATTAAGAATTTACAGTTGCTTACTCGATATTAAATAGACGCGAGCAACAGCCGATGCAATCGAACATAAATTGTCGGAGGCCGACCACCAGGTTCTTAAACTCCATGGCGGTATGCTGGGAAGTGAGCGCGATAACGCTATTCAACGATTCCGTAACGGAGAATTCAAGGTGCTTATTACAACCAACGTCTTTGCACGAGGAATTGATATCTCGGCAATCTCATTGGTAATCAATTATGACGTTCCAATGAAGAGATTATCACCAAATGGCAGAGATGAAGTCCCAGATTTTGAGACATATCTTCATCGAATCGGTCGAACTGGCAGATTTGGACGTACTGGATTGGCAATCAGTTTTGTCTTCGATAAACCCTCTTTTGACGCGCTATCAGCAATCGGAAATTATTTCGGTGTGGAAATGACTCGGTTGGATCTTGATGATCTTGATGGGGCAGAAACATTGGTGAAGGACATCATCAATAAGAACCAAAAGGAAAACCAAAAAGCAGTGTCCGGATGAAAGGAGCTGGTTTCATACTTGCAAGGACAAGCCTGTGTTGGCATTTTTCATGATGGGTGGACGGAATTGATTGGAAATGGGGGTTGGGCGGGGGACTGTGCAGCGTCTATTATACCAAAAGCTACTAACACAATGGCTGGCTGAGCGAACAAAAATGATTCTTGCAATGAATGTGATTTCTGGTTGGAAGATTGAATGAAATAAACGTTTCAATTATTTTTGACTCCCCTTGTGTTCTTGAGTAAATTTTGTTAACTGTGGGCACTGTAAGATTTGTTACATCCTTGTATGTAAGACTTATATCCACCTACTGGTACCCACCGTTTTTCCCGATGGAAAGCTGGAAATACCAGTTTGCGATATGACTGCGCCTTGACGTGGTCGTTGGATGTTTTTAGTCCTTTCATGGGCGTCTTCTTCGCGATTAATAAGTGGTTTGATCTAAGATGAGATAAGAGGGTGGTGGTGGTGGTAGGTTATAGTACCTTTCAGGGCATGTAAAAGATGGTGTTACCAGGTATTATTGAGATATGTGGTAGGGTGTTACGGTACGGTCTGGTAGTATAGAGGTATAGAGTTGTAGAGTTGTAGAGTTGTAGAGTTTTATTCTCATTTAGAGTAGGATGGTCAGTTTATGGTATCTCCCGTCCTCTCCTATCCTGACCCTTGGGAATGGAGTAGGAGAGCCAGGCCTTTGGCCTAGCAAAGGGGGGGATAGTAGAATATTTAACTGGATAGGAGTAGAGAAGGAGAGGCTGTATTTGGGAGAGGAACGGAAAGGAGAGGCTGAAATAAGGTTGAAAGATATCGCCTAAGCGACAGTCTTTTTACTACGTAAGCCAGTCTTTTTACTACGTAAGCCAGTCTTTTTACTACGTAAGTGACAATCTTTTTAGGATGTGTTTTGCGTATCGAGGGTAACTAAGCAAGCTTGTGTATATCGTTTGATCCATTGGATAGGGGTATCTCGGCCAAATATTATTACTATAGTAATTTATAAATAGAGAATAGAAAGGGGTTTGTAAGGGTGCGATAGCGACAAGGTCAACTGTATGCGTAAGAACTAAATTGTCTACAAAGAGTGGAAGTGATCGTAAGATCTGAGGCTATTTACAGTTCCAAGGGCACGGGCCACATCGCTTCCTCCACGTCTGTACCCTCACAGGGTTTTATTTACTACTATTTAGAGTATTAGGGTTTATATAGATATATACTAAACTTATGAAAGACTTTAAGAGTATATTATATAGCGGAGTAAAAAGTATAGATTTTGAGAAATCGGTAAATTAGCGAAAATAGCTTAAGTTATACCGAATTCAAATATATTTAGTATTACTACTTTTAATAATACTACAAACACTTTAGCATGTTAGACAATCCTCCTACGTTCGTTCTGTATCTATCTTATCCATATTACAAAAACCCCGCATTCTTTCGACAGTCTCTAGGATCCGTTGAGAGATGTTTCTCCGCTGACTTATCTTATCCGTTAATTCTCCGATTTCCAGAAGCCTCTGAGTCCAAAATTCCCACCGTTCAAGACTCAACGGCGACGAGACAAGACAAAGTGGCCCAGGTTTGAGCGCCCTGGCAGTATTCTCATCTACAGGCTCAGTCGAAGATATTTCCTGAAAGATTTGATTTCCACAATGAAAGAGCCATTCTGTTGCCACCCATAGCCTGCATTCCATCTTCGTTCCTTCAGCTGCTGGACACTCCAGAGCCAATCTGACCTGCCACACAGGGAACGGGAGCCATCGAACACATTCAGTGCCTATCTTGCCGCAAAAGAGTTCATGTTTTCCCACTCTAATACTGCCTCCGGGTCAAGTTCGCCTTCATCGTCAGTGGGATCTGAAAGTTGGGTCAGATTAATGATTCATGTGGAAAGAACTTTATGTCTCGAATCATCTCACCAATACATTGATCTCTTAGACAGTGTGTAAAGGTTGAAAGGTTTTTCCAATCTTCCCGTATGTTCTGTGTGAAGTGAGTAATTTTCGATTGAAGTTTTTTCTCTACGTAGATTTCGGAAGTCTCATCTTACCTCCTTGAGCTCCAGACGCGTGTTTTGATCCTGATTCAAGCCTATCAAAACCTGAATAAGGATGTCATGGTCGGGCGGAACACGTTTAGCAACCTCGATAACAGTCGAGCATAGATTCCATGTCGTTGCTTCCGTTTGTTCTTCGGACTCATCCGGGATATACAATCCGCGAATTCGATCGAGGAGGTCCTGGAATTTTTGTTTTTGTTCACCATCACGCCCAAGGGACTCCCGAATGATCAGGAACACATCTCGTTCTCCCTTCGAAAGATTTAGCTGCTCTGCAGATTCAATAGTGGCAGTCATGATGTTTTGTGAGCGGCGAAGAGTTTTGTGTGGGGAAGAGGGGGGGAAAGTGTCTTGAGGTGGCAGATAAGCAGGCAGCATTATAACTCAAGTTGCCCGAAGATTAAGGTCATGTGGCTTCGGGTGACACAAGAATCCGGAACCTGCCTTTATACATTGGACCCACTAATCCATGGCCTCAGGATAGAATGTAACCCCTATAGACTATATCATGCCCTGGTTATCATTCACGTCGGTAAAGAGTTTGGGCGTAATCAAGCCTATAGCCGATAATTTAACTCTAACATGAAAGATAATACGGAGTGTCCAGCTCTTTTTATATTAAGTTATACTACCCCTTTAGCAGTTGAGATAAAATGAGCATAGTATATCGCTTGATTGATTCCTAGCTAGAGATAGTTGTATTAACCGTAATAATAATTGTTGATATTACATACTTTATTACTTGACGTCAAGTTCAAAGGCTCACGTTCTCAGACAGATAGCTTAAGTCTCACTAAGATCAACCATTATAAGACCTTTATATAATGTAAGCCGCCACAACCATAAACCTGATCCCCTCCCACTAACCCAGAGATCCGTAAATATATGACTGTTTGTTACTAATGACTAAGAAGCGCATAAGAAAGCCTATAAGTAGAATCGCTTGTATTGAGGAGATTAATTGACTCTATCAGCCCTTGGGACCTTATGCAATTCTAGGCTGCGTACTCTAAAGTATGCACGTGCTGGTATGATTGGTATAGGATGTCTGTACGGATTATCCGGAAAGTTGAAAAGCGAAGGCATTATCTTTGAGGGGTATACGGAGTATAAGGAGACCTCAAGTGGCTGAAGCCAGATTCTGTATGGATTACGGTGGAGCCAGTTAAACAATAACACGATCCTAGAGGTAATTTAAATTGGAGAAGCGCATCTGGAAGGCACCAAGTGGCTGAACTCATGTTCTATATTGATTACGGGAGAACCAGTTTGACAACATCATGATCATGATTCCTAGAGGTGAGTTGAGTGTACGAAGTGCGCCATCTGCTGTATTACTTCACAAAGTACGGTATTCGCCAATAAGTGCTCCGCGTAATAGAAAGAGACCCCAAGTGGCTGAAATTATATTCTATATGGATCACTGTAGAACCAGTTAGACAACAACACAATTCCTAGAGGTAAGCCTAGCTTAGGAAGCCCGTCTGCTGTATAACCTTACTAAGTACTACATTCGCCGATAAGTGCTCTTTTTCAATAATCTTAGCCCTCAAGTCCAATCAAGGTGGGATAATGTGTTAACTTTACTGGGCTGTGGCACACCAGTTTACATGTCAGACGACTTTCAACGACCAACAGGAGTTGAAAATGACTATCATGTAATAAAGAATTGCTAACACAACATTTTCTACCTGAAAGCAGGCCAGGCAAGCCAAATTTCCTGTAGCATCAACTTTCTCTTTATTCTAGTATAAGAATCTTATAGCCGCCCTTCTCAGTTGAACTATCCGTAGCTGCGGACAACATTAACAGCCCATCGCAATTACGCTGTGTGCCTCCAATATCCATTTCGTCTTAGTATCCTTGTGCTAAGGCCCTCTCATATCTCAACATGTCCACACACGTCAACTCTTCATCATTCCCACCCCCCAAGCGCTGTCCAACAGACCGATCCTATGTACGTATTATGGAACGCGTTCTGTGTTTATCTAGACATCACTACATGACTAGCTTCACGTTCAGAGCTCTTCTTTTGATAGTTCTAACATGACGAGTAGTTTAGCGTGTATACAGGCGTCAAAGATCCCTCTAATCCAACTGGGCACTCTTAGGTGTATGCGGAAGTTGCGGAGCAACAGATTCCAAACGCTCCAGCTCCTGATCCCACCCATCGATACCCCTCACCATATAAGAACTACGAAAATTTGCCAGTCACACCCGTTGGCCCCCTCCAACACACACCAGTCTTAGCCTCTGACCAATGGGCCCCAGGTATTCCACCTGGCGCAATACGTGGTGTCTATAACGATAATGATCGTCAGACGTACGATGTTATCGCCCACAATAGGTCCGCTGGGCAATCGGGAAAAGGGCATGGTTTATTTGGCATGGGGACGCGTCATGCACGTGCACCACAACAGACACACAAACCACACAAACCTCACAAACCACACAAACCTCACAAACCACACAAAACCTCTAAACAAACTCCTAACCCTCACCCAAGCCAGAACCAGAGCCGCAACCACAACTCCGCGTTAGCATCGTCCTTTCCTTCCGCAACGCTGTCAGCTGTTGCGCAACTAGGGGGTAGGGGGAGTCGCTATTAAAGTGGATATCGCCCTGTGGCATGTATTACATAGGTTTTAAAGGCCTGTGTAGATAAAAAGGCACTTTTAGTAAATCAGTAATAAATTGAATTCTGGTGCTAAGGTCCTAACTTAGAATATTAGCGTGAATCTTTGTTTTACTACTTAGTTACTAGTTTTATAGCCTTTTTTCTATCGCTATAGCGTTATATATAACTTATGTTAAGGGCTTGTTTAGCTCGCGAATTTAGATATGGTAAGGGTATATTTAGCTACGTAAATCTCTCTATATTAATTAGATATAAAAGTCTAAGATATCTATAGGCTAAAGAACCTAAGAACTTATATAAAAGTTGTGACGACACGCACAGCTGATGGACCGCGCAGGAGCACGACTACGTCAGGTATCACGAGTGGTGAGATTGACACTGTGGAACTGTCTATTCGAGGATTCTAAGGTAAGGAGAGAAGAGAAGAGAGCAGAGCTCGGGAGCCAGAGGTTCTTATATACAGGAGGTTGTGCCAAGCTATGGCTAACTGAGCCGGGCTCAGGAAGCACGGTATCCGCTGGGTTCCAGCCAGGGGCTGGTCTGAGGTGTAGTGGCGGTTAGAACCGTCACAAAAGTTTCCTAATTTATATATAAATTAGACTATTCTAACGAAACAAATATACTACTATTTAGCTAGTATAAAGGCTTTTTTATTTATTTTAGATATAAATCCTATATATTTATACCCCTTACCTATCCCCGCCTATCGCTTCTATAGTATTACCCCTATGTAACGAATACTCAAACTGGCTAACTAAACTTGGCTGGGTGTTCGCTGGTTGGTATGCTATGATAAGAAGAAGA